ATAACAGTAAAATTTGAATAAATAATTCTTATATAACAATTTTCAAAAATTTTAAAAGTTTATCAAGTTTTAAAAAATTAAAATATATACTTTATATAATAAAAAAAAGTTGATATTATTTTATAAAAATAATATTTTTATAAAATAATTATAAGATTTTATGAAAATCTTTTGCTCATTTGTTATTTTTTTTTTTTTGATAAAAAAATATAACAAAATTATTTAATAAGTTATATATTGAATATAAATAAAGTTTAAATAAAATAAGTTTACTAAAATGAACATTTAATTTATATAATTTTCATTTGATACTAATATCTTATTATTATATTATAAGTAATTCATATTTATCTCAATGATTTTTATTATCTTACGAAAACAAATATTTAGAACAAATATTTCACAGAGTATACAAAGACCAGTATTCTTTTCCTTCGATGTATTACAAGAACAAAAATAAACAATTACCAGGAAATAGATAAAATCAGAAATATAATCTCACAATTAATCTTGTTAAAATATATTTTCTTCTATCGTATTTTAATATTTTCTTGATAAATTTTATATTTTCATTCTGAAATATTCCCTAGTACTATTTTTAATTTATGTATTTTATAGAAATGTTAGAAAATTTTTTTTTAATTTTTTTTTATATGTTAATTTAAAATAGTTTAATAATAATAACCTATATATAAAATATATAATATATTGATATATTATCAAAAAAGAATAAACATTAATAATTTGTGAAACATGTAACATAAAATAAGATCAATATAAGATCTATACCTATATATATAGATAGAATAATGTAATTTGATGCATGATTCTTTTTTAGGCTATATAAAAAAAGTAACTTATTAAAATTAGAACTACATATTTTTTTTCTTTATTTTAAAACCAGATTATGATGAATTTAAAAAAAAATTAATATTATTCAATAATACATATTATTTTATAATACTTTACAATTGTACTTACATTTATATGCCAGAAACATATGATATAAAATAAATAATTTAATATAATGCTTATCATTACAAATTTAATTTTATTTGTCTTTTTGAAATCATATATTTTAAATAATTTTTTTACAGCATATTTATTTGTTTATGGAATAATATTAAAAGAATCAAATATTTTTATAAATTCAAAAAATAAACAAAAAGATTAATATGGCATTAAATTGACATTTAAAATTTTAATATTTTTTATTATGTTTTTTTACGAGCAATTTAAACATATATTAAACATTTTATAATTCTATAATAAATATATTATATTTTAAATTCTATATTTTCTGAAATGAATTTATTTTTTTTT